GGAGGGGATTTGTGGTCTCCACAGGGGTGCCTGTGCTTTGAGGATTGGGGGCGGGGGGGGGGGGGTGTAACTCTGACATCCCAAAGACAACGGACAGGCTCAGTGACGGTAAAGGTTGACCTTCATCAGGGAAGATGCCTGCCTAGGACGTGATACCCACCAAAAACTGCTTTTAGCTGAAAAGTTTAATTTCCAACCATCCTTTGAGGCTACGTTAGGTCTCTGAGTTTGTGCGGCCACCACGCAGGGCCCCCCCCAACCCCCCCGAGCCTGGCAGGTGAGCACCGGCCCCTTTTCATCCACATTGCCAGACCCATCGCCTTCATTGTGTATCCCCCCTCTCCACCCCCCACAAAAAACCCTCCTTCCCCAGAGGGGCTGACGCTCTGCACGTGCTTCTGGTTTTGCTTTCTGCGCGTATCACATGCGTCCTCTGTGGGTTCATTCTGCTTGTTTGGAACTTTGTGCGCATGGCATGGTGATGGGAGTGGTGTCTGGCTCTTGCTTCTTTGCTTCGTATCTGTGAGGTGCACCGTGCTGTGTGCAGCTCCTCACGGTGTGATCACACTGCAGCCTATCACTTCCCGTTGGGGACTATTTGGGTTGCTTCTTTGCTCTGTCTCATGGTGAACGGTGCTGCTATGAACCCCACTCCTTTGTGTAAGTCCCTCTCGGAGAGTCCGTGGGGAAGGACCCGGGTCCCGGGGGATGCAGATCCACAGCGCGCACAGGTGCCCTCCCACAAGCACCGGAGGCCAGCTCCTCCTGCCGCCTTCATGGAAACCGGTTCCGCAGTTTTGCACGTTTGGTGGTCAGGTGGTATTGGTGATCCTCGAGGGTCTTATACGTCTTCCTGTGTTCCGATGGAGCGGAAGCCTGGATTCTGTGTCAGCCGTTTGGATTTTCACTGTTTGTCGGGAGGGTTGACGGCCTGTCCTGGCAGGCTGCTGTTCCCCCGCCTTTGGATCCTGTTGGCGGGCGCTCTCCCTTCGAGGGTACAGCTGTGTCCACAGCTCAGTTGCTTCGATATCCGGGTGGCTTGTTTGAAATGGGTTACTGAATGGGTTTTATAGGAAAGTAATGTTTTATATTCATAAGGAAAGTATGCCTTGTAATACCACAAATAGCCAGGTTTGGAGGAGTAATAGGAACCTTTTTCTAATACACAGAAATAAAGTTGTGTTATTTGCTGAGAATAGAATAATTTGGGATGGTCTTGATTTCACATTTGTCAAAATTATTTGTGTCTCTTTTGTTCAGGCACTGCTGACAATTTGAGACTGTTAATAAATTTTCTAAAACTAGAAACCAAGTAGATAAGCTGAGAAGGCCTCTCTCCATCCTTCTTTGCTAAGAATTTATGTCAGAAATTACAAGGTGATAGTGGTGGTCTGCTAGTAGTTTTTTATATGGCCTGAGCAGTGTTTTAGGTTTGAGTTTTTTTTTGAGGGGGGAGGGTTTGATTTGATTTTTAGTTAAGACAATATTTTACAATTCAGATATAATAAAAGCCTAATATGCAAATTGTCCCTTCAAATGGGAGTTCAACCACTCGCTATAATGTGAGCTGACCACCAGAGGGCAGCGCAGAACATGACAGTTGTCGATGACAAGGCGCTGGCAGCAGGTGTCAGTGGAGGTGCTGCTGGCCCCATTGGGCTTCCAAGTGAGCTGGGCACAGCCCCTGGGACACAAGGGCCAGTCAGGCTCCCATGGGTTTGCACAGGAGCTGGTCTGCGAGGCTGGCCGGGAGAGAGTGTGCTGCCCACCCAGCCTCCATGCAACACTGCTGTGTGCCCCAGAGGCCCACGCTGTACACCAGCCCATGGTGTCTGGCCACAATCACTGCATCTCCATGTGGGGACTCAGGCTCTGTGGCTCAAGCGGAGAGGGGCGTTCAGGGCCCAGGAGCCCAGGTGCTGCCCAGGGCCCAGAGGGGAGCTGGGACCTGTCCTTCCACACCAGACACTTGCACTTTGATCACTGATGAGGCCTAGGGACCCCACCCGTGCACTAGGAATTTTGTGCACCGAGCCTCTAGTCTATATATATAAAAGCCTAAGAGACCATTACGACCGACTGGACGAGCGGACAATCAACTGGTAGCTATTGCATGCACTGACCACCAGGGGGCAGACACTCAACACAGAAGCTGCCTCCTAGTGGTCAGTGTGCTCCCACAGCCAGCCTCCCACAGCTGGCCAACCTCCCGCTGTCCCTCCCCAAGACTGGCTGGCCCCGATCAGCCCCAATCGCTGGTCAGACTGAGGGACCCCACCATGCATGAATTTGTGCATTGGACCTCTAGTCTCACATAAAGCTCTGAGGTTTTGCCTTATTTTTTAAAATATGCAATCAACAGTGGACCCATATTCGCACACGGCAGCAATTTCCTGGATGAGTGGTGGCTCCTTGCCAGCCATAGAGTCTGGTTGTTGTTCCAAATTTTTAGTTAGCCCCATGGTGCCTCAGATAAAGACTACATATCCAGTGTCCCTTACAGTCGGGGATAGCCATGTCCTTCTGGCCATTGAGGTTAGAGAAAGTGGTAGCTTAATCATATGAACCAGCTTCCACATGTGAGGTAGGCGTGCATACACTCACTGCATACTTGCGAAATGAATAAGTGCATTTATGGTGAAAGGCAGCTGCTCCTGTAGTGAGGTCTTGATTGCTACAAAGGAACCTAAGACCAAGAGTGAGTGAGTGCTGGGCTGGTAAAGTTCCCATGGCCCCAGAGGAAAACACACGTGTGGCTTGCAGTGATGATTGTCCTTCCTCTACTGTTTTAGAATATATCCATGTATTTACTCCCCATACAAAACTGACAAGCCAGCTTCTTCAAAAAGGAAGTGGGATTTGAAGTTCAGAGCATAAAAGACATGATTGAGAAAAATAAATACCATTACTGGGAGTTGACAGGTGACCTTTAATAGGAGTAAGTTGGATTGTGATGTAGTTTGGTTTTCAGGAAGCCCAAACCAGTTTCCCAGGATTGTCGCTGTGGGTAGGCCGTGCTGCTCAGATTTCAATGAATGGAGAGTTGATCTTCTGTAAGAACAGGAGCCAGGGGACTTTATTTCCTGCAGCAGTTTGTGAGGCCTGACCTCTCACCTGTAGGAAGGGCCACGAACCCGGTTGGAAGGAAATGTTGCCAGGGGCAGAGCATGGTGTCTCCAGCCAGGTGTCTCGGCTGTGTTCCCACTGAGAAACGGGAGTCTAAGGGCAGTTGGCTCGGTGGTTCCTTGGTTGCCCAGGGCAAGGTCAAGAAGCTTGGAAACCAGAATCAGAAAACTAGCTTCCATAGACAGAGAAGGAGAATCACTTACCCCAAACCTGACCACGTGACAAGGGTGACCACGTGACTTCCTGATTCCGCTCAGCACAGTGTGGGCCAGGCAGACTTGCCCACAGGTGTGCGTGGTAACGTCCCGTCCCCTGTAGCAGTGGGTGTTGAATGAGTGCTCCCGGGGGGAGAGTCACTTTCGGTTCAGGGTTTGTTCCTCCAGTTGGGGGTTCATCTCTTTCACTCTCATGATTCACACAAGCCCCAGGGAAGCTAATGTAAATGCCTCAGTGATGGAATTAAAACTAATGGGTTCTTCGTTTTCATTTGTAATTAGGAGTGAGGGTGACTGTGCTTTGCAAGAGAGGAGGATGTTTATGTAGACCGGCATTCCAGGACCCGCTCTGGGGGTCTGCCAGGGAATCTGGAACTAGAATAGAATGGTCTGGTCTTGGCCTTGAGAGCCAAACAGACTGGCTTTGCCTTCTGGCCTCTTCACGCGCGTAGCAGCTGTGAGACCCTGAGCAAGTGTCTTAGCCTCTCCGACCCTCACACTCACACCATCCAGCGAGGGTAATCATAGTCCCTGCTGCTTGGGGAGAGCTGTGATGAGACGTATGTGAGGTAGAAGCCCCGAGTGCATCGCATGGCTCCTGGCTCCGTACTCTCCACCAAGAGCACAAAGGTACAGCACAGTGGAGAGGAGGGGAGTCCTGATCCCCAGCTGGTGAGCACCAGTTTGCTCCGGATTGTGAGTAGCTGCTTAGGGACTTGTCCTGGCTCTGACAGGCCTGGGGAGCCGTGCTGCTCCTCCAGGCTGCCTCCTCCAGTGGCTGGGGCAGGGGAGAGCAGTGCAGGCCCAACCAGCTCTCCCTGCTCTCCCTCCCGTGAAATTCCATGAGGCCGCACCCTTCTCTTTGGATCAGCAAGATTTTGCCATTTTAAATCATTAGGTAACAGCTGACCTCTCGTGGGTGCATTTCAGTTCACTTGATGCAACGTCAGCAATGCCCTGGGTTTCCTTGCAAATACGATTTCTCATCACAGCTCTTCCCATGCAGTAGGGACTATTATTACCCTCATTGCACAGGTGCAGGTGTGAAGGTAAACTTTAGAGTATAAGAAGGTAATAGAAGATCTACCTAAATCTTTTTGTTGCAATATCTAATGTAAAGTCTACATAACCCTTTTTATTGCCATGATAATGATATCTAATATAAAAAATGGGTGATACTGTATGAATGGTTTTGTGATAACCATTCCAGCATGGTGAATATTATGTATCCACTAACAGTAATTATGAGGCTACTCCAGAAAGGTGGAGAAAGAATTTACAAAATTTGAAAAATGCTGTATAAAAATGGAATATGAAATGTGCCCAATATAACAATAATTCTGTAATAATAGAGATGCATACAGGAAATATATACTGAAAACAGCTACAAGTTTATGAGGAGAGTAAGGAAGATGGGATTGAGGTAGCTTAATATGATTACTTAAGCTTTTTTATCTTTTTAAACTTTATAATATCAAATGGCGTGGGGTTTGTCAAATTCAGGGCTCGCTCCGGTGGAGACCAGCGCCTTGTGGTGCTGACAACATTAATAGCCACAGCCTGGTGTGCTGTGGCTATTTTCTGGTCTCACCTGGTTACCAGCTTGGATGACGTTGTGGGTGACCATGCCTGACATGACTGTCTTCCTCTTCTTCTTAGTGATGAAGATGCCAGGAAGGATCTAAGGACACTCTCAGCCTTCCCCACCAGAACTCTGCAGGAGCATCCGTCCCTTGCTTACTGGTAAGCCAGAGCGAGGCAGCCGGGGACCGGCCTGTCACCCCTCCGTGAGCACAGCGGCTTTCAGGAGGTTAAACGAAGTAGAAGTGAAGACAGTGTCACAGGGCCCATCAGTGTGTCAGAGTCACCGTAGTAGACAGTGGTCCTTCCAGTGGGAGGATCTCCTCACAGCTCCCTGGAAATCATTGTGCCCAGAGCGGAGTCATTGTCAGGAGCAGCCGGCTGCGTGCCATCTTGCTGCGTGGGGAAGGGCCTGCGGAGGGCGCTGTGGCGAGCACAGAGCTGGGGGGTGGGGGGACATGGCCAGGCCTGAGTCTGGAGTGCAGGGAACTGCTATAAACCGCAGAGTGCCCTAAACAGATATTTTCCTAATAAGCAGCAATCTGTGGCCAGAAGTCGATGTATATTTTGAATTACTTTATTTGGTTGTGTTTTAATGAATCCATAGCACCCATTTTTCACATAACATTTTTTCTATAAAGGTACTCCTCCCCCCCTTTAATTACTTACTTCCATTACCTGTAAATATATTTTTCTTGGTTGAAGGCTCCAAATCCTAAAGATGGTTTTCTTTTCCACTAAACACTGATTATAAGATAAATACTCAACATTAATAGCGTTAGTAGGAAAACTGGACCACAGTTACTGAGACTGCGTTGCATTCTGTCTGGAACCTTCTAAACGAATCATCACTAAGTAATAGTTTTTTTAGGAAAGAAAGAAAAAGACCAATGGGTGTCAATTACCAGAAGTAGAGAGAGAAAAGCGTTCACTCGCCTCACTTCTGCTTGAAGCCTGGCTGAAAGCTGCCTGTCTAAACCTGGGCACAATAACTGGTTGATTGATGTCCAAGGCTGGACATCAGCCTGTTCCTCCCCAGTTAGACCAACATTTCATCCCAGGGCAACAATGAAGGATTTTCTTCCAAAACACCGTGTCCCCACGTAGTGACAATAGAGTATTTTAGATTGAACGCGACTCAGAAGCAGTTTTAGTTCTTTCTAGATCTCTCTGACTAACGTAAGGAAACTGTTGAATACCACTGAGCTCTCTTTACTAACACTACTTTGAGTTTATTATATTTCACTCAGTTATGACAACGGATATTAGTTTTTCATTTGATAAATTGATATTATGTTTCTTTTTCTAATAAGTTAAGTTTTAAAAACATTAAGTTTTATGAATACATTATATATTAATATTAACATTAATAATAATAATAATAGCATGTTAATGTTATTAAATTATATGAATACATCGTATAAAATATAAGTTAAAAAATCATGACGAGGTAGTCAGATGTCTGAGGTTTGAATCCTGCAGGAACCCACGTCTACAGACACTCAGTCAGCGTCTGTCCCAGCGGCGGGAAGGCCTGCCTTCTGGGTTCCTCCAGTAGCCATCGGGGCTGGAAAGGGTCTGTGCCGTATAATCATGCGTCGCCGTCTCCTTGTTTTGCAGTGAGGACAGGGTCATCGAGCATTACCTGAAAGCCAGGGGTCTGACCCGGGGTCAAGCTGTGGTCCAGTAAGTACCTTCCCTCCTCTGGCTCAGGCTACAGTGAACGTCTTCCGTTTACAGAAGCCCGTGGCGCGGTTTCTGCTGGGTGGTTTGTGTGTATGTGGTCCTCATCTGATTACAATCTCTCACCAGGAGTTATAAAATGTCTTGGCTCGCTCCATATTTGTGTCATCGGTTCAGATGCTATCAGTGTTGGGCAGATAACAAAACTGAGAAATACAGGCCACATGTGGGGCGATAAGGAATGGTGGGGACTGTGGTGAACTGGAGAGTTTTTGCCCTGGGCAAAGCTACTCAGCTTCAGAATTCATGCTCAGTGTTACCGGATCTTCTGATGTTTTCCAAGGAAACCTGGAACTTCTGGTTTTTAAATCCCATTTTAAACGTTGCAAAGTAATTTTAAGAAAATTTTAGTACAACGCTAGCCTAACAAACCCTCCTGGAGGCCACGTTTGTTGCCAGATTTGTGACCCTACTTCCAGGGAGCACAGTGTTGGTGGTAGGTAAGCTGTCTCTTCATGCTGCCCAGAAAGACCATGTTGACATATTTCTGCACGTTCCACTCTTAGAGTTACCCTCCATTTATTAAGAATAGTTCACAGGGCCCTGGCTGGGTAGCTCAGTTGGTTAGTGTGGCATCCCGATATGCCAAGGTTACAGGTTCAATCCCCAGTCAGGGCCATATAAGAATCAGCCAATGGCCCTGGCCAGTTGCTCAGTGGTTAGAGCTTGTGGACCAAAGGCTCTCAGGTTTGAGTCCCCATACCTGGGTTGTGGGTTTGATTCCTGGTCCCAGTTGGGGTGGAGGCAACCAATGGAAGTCTCTCTCTCTCCTCTCTCTCTATCTCTCCCCCTTTCTCCCCCTTCCTGCCTTTCCTTCCCTCTCTCTAAAAAGGCAATGGAAAAAATATCCTCAGATGAGAATTAATTTTTTTAAAAATCAACGAATGATTGCATAGATAGATGGAACAACAAATCAATGTTTCTTTCTCTCTCTAAAAAAAAAATCGTTCCCAGCTACATTAAAATTTTAGAATTATAAAATCTAAATTTATAATTATAAAAACTAATGATGCATTTTTTGTATAGTAATTACAGTAACTTTTATGGCCATAGAAATTTAAAAAAAAAAAAAAAACATTACTGAATATAGGTCAGGGCATGTGAGAACTGAAATTTCCCCGTATCCCTACATCTTACAGTAATCTCCTTTGTTGTTATTTTGTTTTGTTTTGATTTAAGAATGAGAGACAGAGGAAAGGTGAGCGGGGAGAGGGAAGAAAGAGAGAGAGACTGAGAGAGAGAGAGAGAGAGAAACATTGATTTGTTGTTTCACTTTTTTATGCATTCATTCATTCATTCTTGTATGTGCCCTGACCGGGGATTAAACTCGCAATCTTGGTGTATCGGGGCGACACTCTAACCAACTGAGCACCCTGGCCAAGGCCATACTAATCTCCTTTTTATCATAACACTTTCTGTGACCTTTACGGTGAACATCAGAAGTTAGCGGTCCTGAATCCTTGACATCTTAGGTCACTGAACCAATTTTCTGAAATGAAATAAAGGAAGAGAGAAACACAGGAATAACAGTGTCCCTGGGGGATTTAAGGTTAGGCTCATCAGCATATTGTAAAGACTCCTTGTTTAAATGCAGAGCCATTTTATTTCCCCTGGTCGTTATCACTGTGGCTCCAAACAAGAGGCTGTCTAACTTGGTAGGTAAGGCTCTGGACCAGAGATGGGGAACGTGCAGCCTGTATAAGGCCTCAGAATCATTTGGGCTGGCCCTGCCCGGCACTAGGGGTGAGTTAATTAAATGTTTGACCAAATATAGCTGGCTAATTTTCTTTTTGTTGTTAATCCTCACCCGAGGGTATTTTTCCATTGATATTTTAGAGAGCATAGAAGGGAGTGGGAGAGACACAGAGAGAGAAACATCAATTTGAGAAAAACACATTGATTGGTTGGGGGCTGGGGATCGAGCCTGCAACCAAGGTATGTGTCCTTGACCATAATTGATCCTGGGACCCCTCAGTCCCAGAGCTGATACTCTATCTACTGAGCCAAACTGGCTAGGGCTAGCAAGCTAATTTTTAAGTTGATAATTTTGTTTGCCTGGTGAATGATGTTATAAATATCCAAGTAGCAGAAAAAAGGTTCCCCACCCCTGCTCTAGACTCTAAAATTCAGCTTGATTTGCTAGAATCCTGGCTGTGCAGTGTAATTGCTGCATGACCTTGGCACACTTACCTAACCTCTTATATTGATTTCCATGTAGGCTATTTGCTTTTAAAAATCACCAAATTATTGGTTACAAAATCCAGAGCAATTAATCTTGAAGTATCATTAACAAGTCCCATCAAACTGGAACCTCAATTCTTTGTAGGCCGAGAGACAGTCTTACACAATTTAGTCCACTCCATAAAGCCTCAGAGGTGCACAGTAAATACTTGTTGAATTAAAAATAGCAATGGTAGCACTGTTGCTCTAATTTTTACTTGGGATGGGGAGTGGACATATTTTTAAAAATCAGGTTTTTATACAATAAACTTTTCCTTTTTTAAGTGTATATTTTTGAGATTTTTGACTTAAAAGTTGAATATATATTTCTAAGAGTTTACACAATCAATAATACATGGAATAGCTTTATTTTTTACTTATGAGAATGACCCAAAAGTTGACTCTTATTGTTTTGCATTATTAGGTGCTTAGTGTAAGAAATACTTGCAATTTGAATGTATAATACAGTACAATATACTTCTAAGCCATAGAAATCTTTATATGTAGAAAATAACATTTCCTATAGCTTTTTTAAATTGAAGTTTTCTTGGTAACCTCCTAATATTTGAATGAAGTAAATATATTACTCCTTAGAATGCTTTATTTTGTTTCTACTTCAGTCAAATACATTTAAAATGAGAAAAGTCAATATAAATTGTATTTCTTTCAATCACTTTCCCCAGAAGGGCCCTCTGTTTTAGTAAGAGGTTATAATATATTCATTTCCCACAGATATATGAAAATAGTAGAAGCTCTACCGACATACGGAGTCCATTATTACGCAGTAAAGGTGAGTGTTCCTATGTGCAAGGCTTTCGTGATGCCATGTCACTCTGAGTCAGTGAACACCAGCTTTCTAAAACTGTACAAATTAATATGCATATATATATGTAAGTTATCTAGAAATGTGAGCATTTAGAATAAGATTGATTTTTCTTAAGGAAATAAAAAAAGCCAAATAGCTTGTCACTTTTAGCAAATTATAAAGCATATTTTTGCCAAATACTTGCTATGTTCAAATGTTTTCCCAAAGCCTCTGTGAGTCCTAAGATATTCAGATCATTCTCTTGTCACACCTGTCCTCTTAGCTATTCCTTCTTACTTTTCTCCTTTCCAATTGTCCACCTTTCTGATGCCACCAGAAATTTACTCACATTGCACTCACATTGTCGTGTCTGTATCTTCTTAAAATGCTCACAGGTTTGCAACTCAGTTTTCCATCAGTACGCTTGGTGCTTGTGTAGTGTCTGTAGATGTTTATAAGCGGGAGGGAGTGACTAAGGAGTACTGTGAGGTGAGAAGAGAGAAAGCAGGTTAAAAAGGGAGTGCTGTTTGAAGACAGAATAGTTTTATAATTGATCAATCTTGAGTGACTCTTCAAATTCCAACAATGTTTACAATTCAAAATGGTGGAGAATTGGATAATAAATGTCTGCACAATGGGGACACCCAGTACTAAATATGTGTACTAAGGCAACTTTAATTTCTACTGATTCCTAGTTTGTTTGCATATAGCTATATGTTCCAGCCTAAGTTTTTCTTTCCTATGTCAATACATCCTATGCTTTTCAAGACCCAAACGGTAAATTTATGGAAAAAGTATTTCTCCCCTCCCCATGTGTACCTCACAGGCATTATTCAAACATTCCCAAGTTCACTGTATTACAAACATCAGGATTTAGAACCACTTTTTACATCTTGGGAAACTTCCCTGACCTTTATAGCTGGTTACTAATCAAGAGAACAAAGAGCTTTCTTTCTTTCTTTTTTAAATAGATAACTGCTTTGTACTTTGGATTAATTCTTAGTTGAATTACCTACATTTCATTTCTTCTCCAAATGTTTAATTCAAGCAGTTATGCTTCAGTCTCTTTGATGGTATTAATAGTATTGGTCTGTTTTGGCCTAAAGGTCTTATTTGAAGAAACTCTAAGAAGGCATTTTAATAACAAGTTAGGTTCTTAAGTGCTGTTTTGTTTACAGACAGCCTCCTGGGACCTGCGGGTACTTGTTACAGGGTGGGCCCGGCGCTGGCCACCTCCAGGCGGCTAACAATGGGTCTTGGTTCTCATGCTTTTCCGTCTTCCAGGACAAACAAGGACTTCCTTGGTGGCTTGGAATCAGCTATAAAGGAATCGGCCAGTATGACTTACAAGATAAAGTGAAACCTCGGAAAGTAAGTGTGAATCACCTCAGACTCTTAGGAGCCCCGTGAGCTGTCCTAGGGCTGAGAGCGTTGCTTTAGGGGCACGAACCGTCTTGGGCAAAGCTGGTTAGTGAGGCGGAGGGTTCAGGGAAGGGTTCAGGGAAGGGGTTCAGGGAAGGCTCCTGTTAGCGTGAAGTGTACGCACAGAGGTGAGCTCTGATCACAACCTCGTTCACAAGGGCATGCAAGGAGGTTTCTGTCTGAAGTTATTAATTCGGTATTTGCACATACGTATAGATGCATATTTCATTGGGTGGGTAAACAGACGGGTTCATTGTGAAGACATAAATCAAAATTTCTCGTGCCAGTCCCTCTCAGTGATGTGGTAATGAGTGATCTTCTTAATGCTCTTGCTGTTTTTGCTTGTCTTTGTTTCACAATTTTCCACACTAAACTTGAATGTTTTTTTGTAAAGAAAAGTAAGTTATGTGCTGTTTCGTAAAGGGTCACATTCTGCTGGTCTGGGTTTCCCAGAGCTAATAAGAGACATTGTTTTCAGTTTGAAGTTGGATCATGAGGTTGTTTCTCTCATGAGGTTGTTTCTCTCGGCGCAAGCACCAGCAGACAGCACACACTTGCCTGGGTGAGCACTGGTGAGTCCATATGGATAGCCGGCGGCCGCCCGGCCTGTCAGTGTCTTAAGAACTTAGAGGCTTACTAGGCCTTTCTGTAAGTGTCCTTTCGCGTCCATCGGTGCTCACCATCTTCCTTGCAGTGAGGGAATAAGTAAAGCTTGTTTCCTCCCCATTTCATGGTGAAACTGACACACACAAAAGCGTGGGCAGGGCCACCACAGCCCTTCCACGCCTGGCCACCTCTCCGACCAGACTGGTTGGGCATTGAGGCTTATCCAGAAGTGCCAGTACAAGCATTAGGGCATTTTTTACAACCAGAAAAGGCAAACACTACAGAAACAGGCTAGGGAGAGCCGGAAGTCCTTTCTGGTCCGCGTGACCCCGTGACGACCGGAGTCAGAGGAGAGTCTCAGGCTTTCTCAGTGTGTGCACTGAGACTTCCAGCAAAGAAGAAAGCTGGCTGCACACTGACCCGTACTCCATCTTGTTTCTTCAGGTGATACACACACATCTCTCTTCCCTCTTTGTAAAGCGCCCGGTGTTCCATTATGAGGGAGCATATGTGTTTAACCAACTGCCTTTCGATGCCCATTATGGTGTCCCCGTTGTGGGAGGGTGGGCTGGAGCTGGAACAACGGACCCCTAGTTTATCTATTTTGTCAGATCAGATTGTGACAGGTCATGGTTCTTAAGGCAGGCCTCAGTTGTGCTGACATATTTTTTGGAAATTTATTTCTCCCTTTAATTTTACTTTAAGAAATAACATGCAGCCCTACAGGGTTGGCTTAGTGGATAGAGCGTCTTCGGCCTGCGGACTGAAGGGTTGCAGGTTCAATTCCAATTAAGGGCACATACCTGGGTTGTGGGCTCAAATCCCAGTAGGGGGCATGCAGGAGGCAGTCGATCAATGATCCTCTCTCATCATTAATGTTTCTATCTCTCTCTCCCTCTTCCTCCCTCTCTGAAATCAATAAAAATATATTTCTTTAAAAAAGAAAGAAGTAACATACAAGAGTCTTGCTGGGTTTTGAAACTTGCATGTAAAATATAACTTCAGTTGGCTCACAAGTCATGTTATAGCTAATGTGGCTGATGAAGTTGAGCTTCCCACTGCCTGCACGTGCTTCCCTGAACACAGCTGCCCCCCCCCCCCACACACACACACACAAATACCGGGATCAGAATGAGCACAGGGAGCAGTGCAGTTGGCCTCTCTGGCTTGCTCATGAGCCACAGGCCTTTCTTTCCATTCACAGTTTCACAGAAATGGGTGAATATTGTTTGACACTGACCATAGTCAGGTGTGCTCATTCATTCCAGAGTCTAGACAAGGGGCAGTAGCCACTTCCTTTCCTCAATTTGCAGTGTTTTCCTGTTTCACTTATAAGACAGGCCATCCCGCTCAACCCTAAAGGGCCATCTTGTGTTCATCGCTGTCTCACCTTCCCCTCCTTGGTGACTACAGCCGTGTCCCCTCTATGCCATTGTCTGCCTGCTCCTTTCTTCCTGTTAAACCTGACAGTGGGTTTGGCTTTCGTGTCTTTATTTTTCCACAGCCAACAATTTAAGGGCTCACTGAAGGGAGGCTGTTTTACGAGTCCTGCCCTGGCCCAGTTGGCACAAGTGGAAAATGCATCCCTTACAGAGCTGGGAGAGCAGACTCTCACAAGGATCCCACCCCAGCTGTTTGCATGGACCCGTGCGGAGCCACCGGGCACGAATGAAGGTCAAATTGGCCAACTGGAATGAAACAAAGGCTGGAATGGGAGGCCTTGGAATGCTCAGCCTCTTGAACCACATGCCTGCCATAATTATACGGGCTGAAAACAGGCCAGAAGGAGGGAGATTTGCCAATCACAAGAGATGCCAAGAGACTGCTTTGAAAAGGGGTTAGTCCAAGATCCACAGGCTGAGTCCTGTGTCCTCTCCACATCCTGTCTGTCAGTTCTGGACTAGGATGGTGGTCAGCAAACTGCGGCTCTCAAGCCACATGCAGCTCGTTGGCCCCTTGAGTGTTCTACTGCCACTTCTTCAAAATAGACTTGTCCAGGCCAAAAACTGACTTCTGCACACAGGCCACGAAGTTTCAATCGCACTGTATGTGCACGCCCACACGTGGTATTGTTTGGAAGAGCCACACTCAAGGGGCAAGAGCCCCATGTGGCTTGCGAGCCGTGGATTGCCGACCACTGGCCTAGGAGTGTGGGCCTGCGTTTGTCTTCCCTCTGAGAACACCCCAGGCGCCCTTCGTGCGTTTGACTGTCAGGCCTTTGCTGTCATGGGCCGAGCTACTTTCGGTTCCATAGTGGATGGTGAAAGGAAGAGTTGGGGGGACAACCCAAAGCCTGGCTCGGCGTCTGTTTGCTGGGGAGCCTTGGACACACTGCTACCTCTCTCTTTAGACAGTTTCCTCGTCCGCACAATGGTACTGTCACCCGGCGCCCAGGGCGGCTGTGAGAATGAAGTGAGATTGCACAGCCATCACTCAGTAACCGGTAGCTGATAGGGAGGGGGAGACACAAGAGAAGGAAGGAGAAACATTCTTGGATCACTGTTTGGGTAAACGATGACCCAACATTGCTCAGACCCATAGCCCTTATGCTCCACCACTGGCCCACACTCAAAGTTGTTTTCAGAGGCTGGTAAGCTCTCTGCCTCTCCCAGTTCATTAGCAACAATGCCCTAATGCATGATGCAAATTAAGAGAAAATTAAAAAATTTTAAACTACAACCCACAAAAAGTCAGGGTATTAGAAATCCAGGTCATAAGCAGTTTTTATCCTCCCTTGGTGCAAGGCAGGACAGTGATGGACACACGATGGCCCGCTGAGGGCTGCGCTGGCCGGCTTGTCTTGTAAGTGAAACGTGTCACTGCGAACTCTTAGGGAGTGTGACAGCATCCAAACTCCACTGCATCTCAAATGCAGAACGTTTGAACTTTAACATGATGAAGTTTCACTGTAAAAGAAAACACACAGGCTTGTATTTCTTCTCGGCTTTTATGGTTCATTCAGTACTTCAAGGAAAATGTCTGTTCCTCTCAAGAAGCAGACCGTGGGCCAGTGGCTGACAAAGTCACGCCATGACTGCCCTGGGACCAGTCAGCGATGAGGAGAAGAGACGCACACAGGTGACGCTGTCAGACATGGACGCGGAGGGGTAACATGCTCTTCAGATTGGTATCTGTCTGCATTATGACAGGTTGAGAAAGTCTTACAATCACCCCGGGCATCGCAGGAGTGGAGGAGGGTTCCTCAGCTCTCAGTTAACTGGTTTTTAAAACAAAAAACAAACAAACAAACAAAACACTATTAGTATGTAAAAAAATAAAAACCATTGGCATTCCCAAATGCCTAGGCCAGATATGCTAAGTTACAAATGCCTTTCTGTTTCTTTATTGCGAAAGGCCAGGCTTCGTTTCCTTCAAACTCAGAGCGACTAGCTTGTTTTTGTAGGCAGTGCCATCTCGATCCTTGCTAACCTCCCCCTGCTTTCCTACAACCACCACCCACCGGGACCTCCGGAGCCTGCTTCCAACCCTGCTCCAGTGTGAGTGAGGTTCACATGGGGGGAGGCATGCTGTCCAGCTCACTTTCCACATCCACACAAGCCCAGGGCAGTGTGAGGGAGAACTGAGTCACCCGGCAGCCGGAGGCCTGTCCATCCTGTTTGCACAGCGTGTAATTAAGCGTCAGCCACACCAGTGATCAGTCTGATGGCTGCAGCTTTCTGCAGACTCAGTGGGTGGAGAGCTCAAATCCTGCAGCTTGGGTTTGAAGTGAGAGCCAGCCCTGCACCCCACTTACAGGTTGGCTGACCTGGGGCTGTTACTCAACCTTTCTGGGCTTTTATTTTCTCGACTGTCAAGTTCAGATCATCCTGTCTACTCCTTGAGCCCCAAAGACCATTCTAAGAACCCAGCAAGCCCATGCCTTCCCTCACTCAGCAGACATCGTCCATTCACACGTGCTCCATAGAAGGCTTACTGGGTGGCAGGTACTCACAGGGAGGGTTTTAAGCAGCTCCTCTGAGACAAGGAGCTCTCAGAGAATGTCGGGTATCCATTTCCATTTCACAATCAGCGGGCGAATGGAAAGAATCCCAGGCAAGCAGCCATGTTTTCCATAAAGTCACCCAGTCTAACGGCAAGGGGGCTGCATAGTGCAGGCTCCCGGTGACCATGTCAAGGCCTTAATTCAAGATGTTCCGTTACTAGTGTGGTTCGGTGGTTAGAGTGCCATCCCATGCATGAAAGGGTCATGGGTTTGATTTCTGGTCAGATTGATACTCAGGTTGCAAACAATGCTTATTTCTCTCTCCTATCTCCCCCTCTTCCTGCCCCACTTTCACATTCTCTCATCAACAGAAAAGACATATTCTCAAGTACGGACTAGA